CATGTCTATTTTTTTTTTAAGAGACATTATTGCTATAGGGCACATGCGCTTGCCAGAAAGACGGAGAGACAGAAAGTGAGAAATGACCCCCCAGGAGAGATGGCCATGCCGCAATCCCTTCACTTCCAGTCTCCTTTTGGGATTTTGGGCACACAAGCACATACATTTGGCATGAGTTTTAAGCCACCCTGAATCACAATCCACTACATGGGAGTCCAGCAACATAATCATTATGCCATCTGCTGGTTCTACTTTCATGTCTTAATGCATTATTCAAAATATCCAGGAGAGTTAGTAGGAAACATTTTTGTCTTCTTCCTCAGTTTTAGAATCTTAATAAATGATATTATTTTTATCTTTTGATACATTAATGTAACAGTAGTATAAGTCTCAGTATTAAACTACCTTTATAGTTCTAAAAAAACTATTAGTAGTCTTATTCTTGAATTTGAATGTCTATTTGTAAAACTGTTTTCATCAATTTATTGCACATGAGCTTCTTTAATCTACAAAACATGTATTGTTTATAATGTATATATTATTATATACATTATGTATGTATATAAAAATAACTCAAGAATTTTTTCTATTATACCATTTTATACCACCAAAATATGGCACAAATTTTAGTAAATCTTCTTTTGCCTATCTGACTCAAATCTTCTTTTGCCTATCTGACTCAATTAATGAATTTTTCTTTTGTTTTTACATTCATTGTGTATTCAGCACCCCCCCCCATCCCACAGGCTACTAATTTGTGAAACAGGGTCTTTGTTTTTAGTCACTTATTATTTTCTTCCTCAGAACTGTTTTCTTTTTCTTGTATACACTATGTCTTCTTAGACTTATCCAATATATCAGTCATGAGATCCTCTGTTCTGCTAAATTCTGCTCTCTGCTGCTTTCAGTATCAATTTTATGGATTTGGGTCACATCCTTGAAAGACAGAATCCTAAACATGATAGTCCTAGAGGTTAAAATCCCAAAAGATCACAATTTCTTACATTTAAAACTCCCTAATGTCTAAAACCTCAAAAATCACAATGGTGAAAGATTAAAACCCCAAATGCTGAAATTCTGAAAGTTGAAATTTCAGACTGTTAGTCTCTTAAAAAAAAAAGGGGTGGGGGCTATAGAAGAGGAATACAAAGCTAAATTCTAGGAAAATAATTTTTTCATTTTCTTTTTTTAAAGAATTTTGTTCCCACCATTTAAACATTTCAGTAATAATTTCCACAAATTGCTGTGGTATGTATTTCATCTCTGTCCATTTTTAATACTGGAGGTATACCTTGAGTAAAATTTTAGAGAGTTATTTGTTTTATGCAATTTTTGCAAATTATGAAAAATCCATTATCATAACATTGAATTCGTGTGTCAGCATTGTAGTATGTGTCTATACACAAAATGTTGGAACTTCCTCGATAAGTGAAAAGCTTTTTGTACATGCATGTTTGTAAAAGAGAAAATTCCCAGTCCTGGCCCCTGTGGCTTGAAAAACACTCCAAGCACATGTGAATGTGTGCTCAAGATCCTCTTGATGGGATGAAGAAATGATGGAGATGAAATTACAGAATGACCTTGCCTCATTCTGGGGTAATTTATTGTTTTCTGTCTGTCTCCCTCTGGCAGTGACACACACACTAGAGAAAACATAATGGATTAAAAAAAATGAGATAAATTTTTCCCTAAGACAAAAATGTTCATATTGAAATTAAGCCTAGAACAATGTGTTGAAAGTTTATGTCTATAGAAAAACTTGCACATGAATATTTATAGTAGTTTTATTCATAATCGCCAAAACTTGGAAGCAACCAAAATGTTTTTCGAAAGATGAATGGACAATACCATATAGTAAACTATTTTTCAGTGATAAAAAGAAATGAGCTCTCAAGTCATGTTTAGACATAGAGGAAACTTAAATGAATATTGTTAAATGAAAGAAGTCAATCTCAAAATGTATACACAATGTTATTCCAACTATATGACGTTGTGGCAAAGGCAAAACTATGGGGAAAATAAAAAGATTAGTAGTTATCAAGGGTTAAAGAGAGAGAGAGAAATGAATAGAGCATGAGGTTAGTTTTAAGACAGTGATACTTTTCTGTAAAATAAAGTAATAGTGGATCCATGTCATTAAATATTTGTTAAAACGCTTACAGAAGGAACAATAGAAAGGGTAGTCCCTAATGTGAACTATGAACTACAGTTAATAATAATGTATCAATATTGGCTCATTGATTTTAACAGGGGAACCAAATTAATGCAAGTTAATTCATATGGAGGAGACTGCGTGAGAGAAGGTATATGAGAATTCAGTGTACTTTCTACTCAGTATTTTTATAAATCCAAAAGTGCTATTTAAAAAACACAGAAGTGGGGGACCAACAGATGGTGTAATGGTTATGTCACTGGATTCCCACATGGCCAACCATGGTTCAAGTCTCAGACCTGGTGGCTTCAAATTCATCTCATGGGAGCATGTGCATTAAGTACCCAAAATCATGAGAGGAGAATGGAGAAGGGACTGCATCATGGCCATCCCCCCCAAGGGGGTTATTTCTCTTTCAGTCTCTTTGTCTCTGTTGAACACACGCACCCTACAGCAAAAATCTCTCTTAAAACACACACATACACACAAAGGTGGGGCCAGCAGATAGAATGGTGATTAAGGCTCTGGACTCCCACGTGGCAGAACATGGTTAACTCCTGGTTCTGATAGTTTGAGCATCACACTGGAAATATGTGTGCAGGTTCCCAAAATCCCAAGAGGAGAATGGAAGAAAAGGGACTGCAACATGGTCATCTCCCTGAGTGATGATTTCTCACCTTCCCTATCTCTCTTATTTCCATTAATTAGCAGAAATGGCTATATTTCTCAGTAAATGTTCTATCACATTCTAGAGGTAAGTGGGATCTTCAAACAATTCATGGAAAATGCACATCATGAAAATATCATGTGTGGATTACAAGACATTTTTGCAGCAAAATAAACTTTAATTACATTTTCCACAAACTTTTTTGAACTCTCCTAATTGAGTATACCTGGGAGTCAGGTTTCTGGGTAGCAAATAAACTGGTGCTTATTGATAAGGAAAACAATTTTTAACTCAGAGTACATAGATTTCTGTTACTAGCATCTCTTTAACAGCCAAATTTCTTGAAGTTTGATTCATACCTCAGTTTATTATTTTATTGTAAACTGTGACATCTAAATTAAACCATGTTATAATTAATTTTAGTAAATATGGCCTTTTCTAAAATAATATTTATAAAGAATGTATTTTTGAAGGAAAAACATTTCTTTTTTTTAAAGAGATTTTTGCTATAGGACACATGAGCTCACTGGAAAGACAGAGAGAAAGAGAGAGAGAGAGGGAGAAAGTGAGAACTCATCCCCTCAGGAGGGATGGCTGTGCTGCAACACCTTCTCCTCCATTCTGTTCTCAGGATCTTGGGCATGCACACATACGCACCTGGTGCGAATTTTAAGCCACTGGGTCCAGGACTCAAACCATGGTTGACTAGGTGGGAGTCCAGTGACATAACCATTATGCCATCTGCGGGTCCCCTTAGTCTGTTTTTGTTTGATACCTGAGACTGGGTGATTTATGAAGAAAATAGATGTCTATTTGCAAACTTCATGATTCTGTTGGCTGGAAAGTCCAAAGGCATAGGTCTATAACATGGCCAATAAAGTGAAGAGGATTGTGGGTGCATACAGAGACAGTGCAAGCTATGGGCAGCTTTTTATCCATCAGCTCTCATAAGAATTCCTTTTCATCAGAGCTAGAACTCACTGGGTCTTTCAAGACATCATTAATCTATTCATGGGACTGTTGCCACCACGATTCACTCACTGCCCACTAGGCCCATCACCTTCCCAAACCAAATTCCAAAACATAAACTTTGAGAAATAAACCATAACATTCTATTCTGACACCCAAGGTTCATGTCTTTCTCATGTGTAAAATGTAATTATCTCATCCCAGTAGTCTCAAAAGTCTTACATTATTACACCACCAATTCAAATACTAAAAGACATTCCAGACACAAGGCAAACTCCTGTCATTCTGTGTACTCAAAACAAGTTACATACTCCAAATATACAACTATGAAGCAGGATCATGGTAGAAGTTTCCATTCTACCAGAATTAATAAATGACAGGCTCCAAGCAAGTCCTGAATCCAAGCAGGTGTATGTTAGATCTTAAAACCTCTTCCTTTTCCAGTCACTTATCTGTATGGGTGAATTTCCACATACTTCAGCTGAAACAGCATATCTAAACAGACCAAATGCAAAAGCTGATAAACGATTCCAGCTGTCAGGTCAGTCCAATAGCTCAACTGTTAGGGAGATGAAAATTTCACATGGCTGATCATGGTTCGAACCCTAGTCCTGGTGTGTGTGTGTGTGTGTGTGTGTGTGTGTGTGTATGCGCATGCCCCAAATCCTGAAAGGATGAAGAAATGCAGGAAAAAAGATTATGGTGTGATCTCTTCCACTGGAGGCTACTTTCTTTTTCTCCTCTCTCTTGCGTGTACACACACTCTCTGGCAAATAACAAAGAAAAAAAGGGAAAAAGAACCTAGCTGTCTCCAGTTAAGGTAGATACAGTGATACATTCAAGAATGTAAAATGATGTAATGCTCTTCTTTTGAAAAATAGTTTTTTCACAAAAATGTTATTTTTGCTAACATGATTACCTACACTGTTCTTAAATGAATAAATACATTCTAAATTTCTTAGTTTTATATTCCTAAACGTTAAATATTGATGGATATACCACACAGAAGTAAAGGCTTGTTGGGAGTCAATAATTTTGAAGTGTAATAGGTTGCTAAGACCATTGGAAATAATTATTAGACTAAAAATGTTATCTGTAAATGAAATCAGTTCCTAACCAATGATTCAGAATGTGATACTGGAAGGCTGAGTTGATGCTTGGTATAATATGATAAAAACAAGTCATAAAATGTTTTCTTGATATTTAACTTACAAAGAGAATTCTGTTTTACTAATTTCAGTTGTGATGTAGTCAATTGTTCTCTCCGTTGGTTTTTATTTTCATCACTCTCTTCATCTTGTACTACAAAATCATCAATAATATAATCATCTCCATCTTCATCATATTCATAATCCTCCTCCTCCTCTTCATCATCATCTTCATCACTACTTGGGCATGATTCCTTTTCATCATCCTAATTAAATTAAAATAAAAGTGCTTCAGTGAAGTATGCCTATACAATAGTCAGTGTGAATTTGAAAGATTAAATGTGAAAGCAAAGAAATCACCCACAAAAATTAACAAGATTTTAATATTAAAAATAAAGAATTCTGTCATGTTAAATGTTGAACTTTAGAAATAACAGAGAGAAGATAATATACCTCAGCTAAGTGAGGTCAAATATTTAAAATGAACATTAAGATTTCAAGGAATTAACAACAAGAAAGACCATACAAAAGAAGTAGTCTTTCAATTTTCAAAAAGATTGATGGACTGAGGTTTATGATAAAATAAAATATTTAGATACAACAGTGCAATCAAACATATTCAAGGATACTTGTAAAAAAACAAATTATATAATTATTGAGAAATAGAACACAATCATTACTTTCCTTTTTATAAAAATTAAATATTTTAAGACTTTAAAAACAATAACACCACCAACAAAATATAACACACCTCAAAATCTCTACCACTATTGCGTCTCTGATGAGATCTTTGTTTTGAGAGTTCTTTCAGCTTCTGGAGTTGTTCTCGCTTTCGTGCAGCCACTGTTTTCTCAGGGTTGTTTTGTTCCATTTCCACTGAAGAACATTCATCCTCAACTACTCTTTGAGGACGTTTAACACCTACTTTTCTAATTAGGATATCACTGTCATCACTCTCATCACTGTCATACATTACAGAAGAGATCCTTTTTCTTTTCCCTCTCATAATGTGTTCTTCTAAATCCTCCTCTATTGCTTGTCCAGTATGTTTGAGATCATTGTCCTCTTGGTTTGGATGCTTTTCATAATCTGCTAAGTGAGTACTTTCATGCTTAGTTTTGTTCATTTCTTCTTCATTTATTAAACTATTTCTAGTGTTAATTAGATGCTTATAGTTTTTTCCTTCGCTTTCAACTTTATTAATTTAAGCTCTCTTTCATTTTCTGGTGTTTTATCACCATCAAGCCCCTTGTTACTATCAAGCTCTTCATCATCAACACTTTCATCACTATCAAGCTCTTCATCACTTTCTAGGTCATCATCACTATCAAATAACTGTGAGATACTATTTCTTTTAGTCCGCCTCCAATCGACTCGAGATTTCTGCTCAGGCACTTGAGTTTTAGAGTTTTTCCTTGTTTCATGTCTTCTAACATGTACCATTTTCATTTAAGCTTCTACAAAATAAAGTTATTAGGAATATAACAATGATAATCAGATTATAGCAATAAATGAGTTTATGGTTCAACTTATATTTATTTGGCATTATTAAATGGACCACAGAAAAAATCACATAAATATCTAAGTGAAAATGGTAGGTCAGCTATTCAAAAGATAATTTATTGAACAGCCATGAAACAATTACATGAACATCTATTCTGAATTATGCTATATATTGTGCTGAAAAGGGATGTGAAGATAGACAAATAGACAAATTATGGCCCTGTCCTTCAGGAGACTATCGTCTATGTGCAGAATTAAACACACAAACATATAACAGAAAAATTAAAGGCAGTATTCACTTAGTACCAAATCAATGATAAAAGTAACTGTGATACAATTGTAAAGATGCAGGAAGATCAGTAGAAGAAAGGCTTTCCAGAAGATTATCTTGAACAGGTATGATCTAATTCTGAAGGATTGGTTATATTGAGAGAAAATGAATGAAAACAGTTTCAAGCAGGTCAAAATGGTAAGGGCAAAATTTTGGCATTGACAAAGAATGTCTATCTATGTTCAGTAAATAAGTGAACCAAAAGGCATGAAAAGAAGTTTTATGGTGGAAAAGAGGAGACAAGGATGGAAATGGAGGACAGGATTACCAGGATGATTCGGATTCTAGAGAAACCATATGAATTATAACTTAAAGGATTAGGACCAGCAGTTAGCGTAATGGCTATGTTGCTGGACTCCCACGTAGTCGACCGTGGTTTGCATCCCGGACCTGGTGGCTTAAAACTCACGCCTGGCACATGTGCGTGCGTGCCTAAGATCCCAAGAGGAGAATGGAAGAGAAGGGATTGTGGCATGGCCATCCCTCCTGGGGGGTGATTTCTCACTTTCTCTCTGTCTCTCTCTGTCTGTCTGGTGAGCTCATGCGCCCTGTAGCAAAAAAACGTAGACAAACAACAAAAAAAAACCTCTCAGAAAAAAAAAGGATTAATCAATTTACATGGAAAAAGTTTCAAAGTAGCAACTGACATAAAAAGATAGCAAGCAGTGCAAAATTGAGAAACAACCTATTAAGACTGCAGCCTCTGGATACCTTAGTAAAATGGCAATGGCTTTAAATGACTCTAGCTAATGATACCATATAATCCAACAGAAAACTTTCTAACAATCCAATAATATAGTCAAGTGAAAAAACAAAAACAAAAACAAAAAACTTTGATGGAGGAGCTGAGGATGGTACTGACAAGAAAAACAAAAGCTGTCAGTTTCTGCTTTAGAATATGGTAAATTCCATTAAAATGATCAACAGTATATATTAAAGGAACAATTAATGATGGGTAAGATTACTACACAAGCAGTAACACATACGTACTTCTACAGTTGCTAAGGAACAGAAATAAAATCACAATGTAATAAGACTGACCTCATAATACATGCATAAGTGTTTATATACTCAACTGTGTGCTATCCTGTTTGAATAAATCACTTTATAAGGGTGATTATTCTAATATTTCCACCATGGCATATAATATTTCTGGAGCTTTTCTGCAAACCATAGGAACAAAAAAATGAATCATACTTTATTTTTTAACCCATTATATGAGATTGTTGACAGCTTCTAGAAATCAACTTCACGAGATAAATTCATTAAGATATTTTTAAAGTCCTGTAAACTCTTAAGGTACTTCCAAAAACACAAAGCCCCAACTGTTGGCATAATGGCAGTGTTACTAGTCAGTTTCGGAACTTCCCAAGATAATGACTTTTTTTCATAGAGATGAAGAAGATACTATTCATTTGACTGCATGTGTTTATAAGACATGACTGCTTCTACAATGGTAAACAATACATATAATATTAGAACAGGGTCTGCTATGATTATATATTAGGAATAATCTTTTTAGTGTAAATTGAAGTATAACCTTACGGCAGTAAAGCTACAAGATAAAATCAGCATTGATAACAACAATCTAGCAAACCTTATTCAATAGACCAAACAGTCTGGTATCTGAAATTATACTTGGGTTACATATTACAGACAGCATTTATTAAAAATCAGCAAAGATGAAAACTATGTGTGGTCAAAATTACCCTTGTATGAAATCCCTATATTATTCCTCAAAGTCTGTTTTTGTGTGCGTGTGTACCCACCACACTGCTTTTACGATATGTCCAGTCAGTTTCTCCTCCAGGTTTTAAATAGATTACTGTTTCTTTGTTTAAGATCCAGAAAAATGAGCCAGCTTATATTTGGAAGTTATACAGTACAAAGATGTATTTCTAAGCAGATTTAGTTAAATTTGCATAAGGTAATTGTGCATATGTGCATGTGTATCATGCTGTAATTATAAAGCTTTCTAGTAAATCTATCTGAATTGTGAGAAATAATGAACAAAAAGTTTATGAAAGTAAATGACAGATACGGTTTCAGTAGATACACTAAACCAAATATGGACAATAAAGAACATTAAAGTGAAAGATGAGTTTATTAGTGCCCCAAATCAGATTGAAATCCACTAGGAAGATAGCTTACAAAAGTTATTTATCATATAAATTAGTTATTTCTATGAAACTGGTGGAAAAGTTTAAGACTATCACACTATTAAAAATTACTGCACATTTCTAATCTTTGTATTTATAATATAAACTTCATAAATTTCAGTGCATTTTCAGTTTATTTTTAAATACTAAATGATCCCAGGGCAGATGATATTATCTGACTCATTTGTAAGTTTCAAAGCCAAGGACACCAGAGTTTAAATGACTTACCAAAGATCACACAGCTTGTTAGTGATAGAGCAGGGGTTAGAAACCAGGTCTCTTGATTCCCCGTCCAGTGCTATACAATGACTGCTGTCAATATCATATTTATACAAGGTAGTAAAAATTAAGTCTTTAAAAAGTTGTCATTATTTAATCTTTCATTCATGTTGTTTTAGTTTCAAAAAAATAACCAATAAAATGATTTATAGTTTACAAACATGCTTTTTAAAATTATGTAGCTGAATTTTTGGTGCACATGGGTTAGAACAGAACCTTCTGAAAATTATTCACTAAGCAAGAAAATAATGTACGATAGAGATGAAAATATGCAGACTTCCCTCTACCACCTGATGACACTGGTTACCAAATTTAAGGTAGTCCCCAGTAAGTGCAAAAGTAAAAATGCAAGAGAAAGGCAGTCTCTGATGAAAAAAGTTTCCAAATTTGAAAGCTCAAGGAGTCATACTTTACTTATATAAAGTAAACCAAGTTTCATTTGGCCAACTGCAAAATTGTCAGTCTCTATTTCAAAATTGACATTTATGCTGACAAAGCCAAAATTCTATTATTTAAAGAGAAGATCATTTGAATGTAGTTGGCCCCTCATTTTAAATTGTGCAAATCTGTCTACCATATTAGCTGGGGAGGGAAGAATGACAGAGAAAAGGTGAGTGAATCTGGGGAGAGAAATGAGAGGTAAAGCTAGGTTATGGGTAAAACATCTTGTGGTCTGTAGGATTCACTCAAAAAAGAATCCATGCAAATGGATGTAATTTCTGTATATGTTGAATACACACTCAATTCTTGAGATGAAAGTTTTATCAAGCTTCTGTAAAGATATCTTACCTTTTCTGTAAGAGAAAAACAGAGACTCCGAACAGAAAGCATTAAATAAGTGAATGAAGAAGATCAATACTATCTCTGTATGTCAGGTTAATATTATATAAGAGGCACGTGCATACATAGCTATACTGTCAGTCAAAAAATATAAACTAAAGGTGATGACCTATATTCCTGTGTTCTTTCTCTAACACGGTAACTTTTTACCTACAATTAGGTACTTAGATAATGCCATTTGAATGTCTCCTGAGAATAAATATCCTTTCCTTTGAAATTCCAAAGGAATTGAGGTTAATTCATATACAAGAAAAGATTCATTCTAGAATCACCTACTTGTTGTAAAAACAATGTAGGTTACACTAGTTCCAACTTTTAAGATTTGAAGGGGAATAAAACCCCAGGTCATTATTTGAAGTTCCACCAGAAAGGATGCACCTTTTTTTTTTCCTGAAAAACATCATTCCTCCCGGATGTTTTCTTTTATACGACAGAAGAAATATTAATAAACCAAAGAAATCGTTATTTAACCTCTGCCAAAATGCCAACACATGCTTGGAGCTGTGGCAATACAAAATAAATAAAACGGTCTCTGCTCCCAAGGAGCTCACAATCTGATGAAATTACTACAGACATCAAAAATAAACTAGCAAAATACACAACTTGAAAGCTTCGGATTTCAGTTCATGATTCGGATTAAGTTTTTATTACATTATTGTAAATAAATTTATCAGTCCTTCTATTGGCTGGAAGAGAGGACAGACAGCACACTGCAACAAAAACAGGAAATAAGAAACAAAAACATATAAAGTCAGGAAAGCCAATTACCCCCATTAGAAACACGATGCAACACGTCACAATTTCTCAGAGCGAACCCTGCCAGCTTGGCATCCGGGATAACTATATTCATTAAAATGGTTACACTGAAGGTGGTTCACCACATCCAGCAGAGAGAAGTGGTAGAGGGAGGAACTAATCCTCTCCGGAGTTAACACCAGTGTCATTTTCATGATTACAAACCTGGCTCTTTGGCGGGACGCGGGCACCCAGCCCAGCCCGCCCGCCCACTCGCGAGTCACTGTCTCCAGTGGGGAGAGGAACGGTAGCTAGGAAACACGACAGCCGTACAGAGCTTCGCGGGGACGTGCGCAGGACCACAGAAAGCCCAAAAGCCCTGCGGGGCTCTGCTCCCAGAACACAAGCAAGGGTCTGGCAAGCTCAGAAACCTGAGAAATCACCGATCGAGCTCCCTGCATCAGTTCCGAGCATCTCTTGATGGCGAAAATAAGGACCACCGCGCCCACGGCAGCTCAGCTGAGGAGGAGGGCTGGTGGAGCTAGCGGCTTCGGGGACCTGTCCTCTGCACTCCGTAAAACGCGCGGGAGAATTGCTCTCTGGGCCCGCCAGGAGGCGTGGCTTCCCCTACCCCACTAATAAGCCCTTAGCAGCCGGAGCAGGAGTTAGAGCGAGTTCCCGCCGGGAGTTGGCCTCGCACCGCCCTCGCGCTCTCACCTTTCAAAGCGCCTTAGCCTATGCCTCCGCCTCCTCCTCCTCCTCCTCCGCCTCCGCCCTGGGCTCCAGCTCCACGAGAGACGCTCCTCCCTTTCCCGGGGACCAGGGGAAGTCCCACCTCTGGGCGGGGCAAGGGGCGGAGCCCGGCGGCGGGAGGGGGCGTCTTCCGGGAGCCTGTGCTGGGGGAGGAGCGACCGCTACGCGGTAGTCAGGGAGCGTTGCGGGTCCTGGTTGCAATTGAGGTGGGAAGAAGGGCCCGGCGGGCTGTGAGGGACCGGGAGGACTGTCCGGGACAAGTCTGGCACCGGGAAGTGGGTCTGAGTGGCGGGAGGGCCCGGTCTCTGGGGAAGGAATCAAAGGGAACCGGTCCTCTGGGGAAGGGGGTCAGTCCCCGACTCTCTGGCTCTTCCGCTCTCAGCCGTAACTTTGGGGTGTGGCAGAGGTTAGTGACCGCGTTCACCTCGGAGCTGGGCATGAAGGAGGTTGGCGGCCACCACCGGGTTATAATTTTCCTTACTGCCACTGGGGTAATAAAACACATGTCTGTAATCCGGATTATCCGCGGTGATTTGGGGCCTCCTCCACTGCCCATCTAAATTAAAGGCCTGTGCCCTACGACTTGCTCCTCTTTCACCTCTTGCTGTCCCTTTGCCAGCCAGGTCAAGCCCGGGAGGGGGTCAGGGCTACCAGGTGGCTGTTACGGTTGAAAGACTTAAAGTTGTTAAAGTGAGTCTGGAAGAAAAGGAAGGATTTTTGTGTGTTGGTATAGTGTGAGTGTGAGGTGACTCAGAGCCTCACCATGTCAGGGAAACGGAAGCGTGTGGTGTTGACTATTAAAGATAAACTGGATATAATAAAGAAACTTGAAGATGGAGGTTCTTCCAAACAACTAGCAGTGATTTATGGAATTGGTGAGACAACAGTTAGGGATATAAGAAAAAATAAGGAAAAGATTATCACTTATGCAAGCAGCTCTGATTCCACAAGCCTTCTGGCCAAGAGGAAGTCTATGAAGCCATCCATGTATGAGGAACTGGACAGAGCAATGCTGGAGTGGTTCAACCAGCAAAGAGCAAAAGGGAATCCCATATCGGGACCAATTTGTGCAAAAAGGGCAGAGTTCTTCTTTTATGCCTTGGGAATGGATGGTGATTTTAACCCCTCTGCCGGTTGGTTAACTCGCTTTAAGCAGAGGCACAGCATTAGAGAGATTAACATTAGAAATGAAAGGTTAAATGGAGATGAGACCGCTGTAGAAGATTTTTGTAACAACTTTCGGGATTTTATTGAACAAGAGAATTTGCAGCCTGAACAGATCTATAATGCAGATGAGACTGGACTTTTTTGGAAGTGCCTGCCTACGAGGACTTCAGTAATTAAAGGTAAATGCACTGTCTCTGGGCACAAATCAGTTGAAGAAAGAGTCACTATCATGTGTTGTGCGAATGCAACAGGTTTACACAAACTTAAACTTTGTGTTGTGGGGAAAGCAAAGAAACCTCGCTCCTTCAAGTCAACTGATACCTTAAATCTGCCAGTCTCTTACTTCAGCCAAAAAGGTGCATGGATGGACCTTTCTATTTTCCGACAGTGGTTTGATAAAATTTTTGTACCACAAGTTCGAGAGTACTTAAGATCCAAAGGCTTACAGGAAAAGGCTGTGCTCTTGCTGGATAATTCACCAACACATCCAAATGAAAACGTCCTAAGGTCAGATGATGGCCAGATATTTGCTAAATACTTACCACCAAATGTGGCTTCATTGATTCAGCCCTCAGATCAGGGAGTCATAGCAACAATGAAGAGAAACTATCGTGCTGGTCTTCTCCAGAACAACTTGGAAGAAGGTAATGACCTTAAATCATTCTGGAAGAAGCTTACTTTGCTAGATGCACTTTATGAAGTAGCCATGGCATGGAATTTAGTAAAACCACTTACCATTAGTAAAGCATGGAAGAAGATTCTCCCTACCATAGAGGAGAAAGAATGCATGGATTTTGATGATGAAGAAGATATTTCTGTGGCTACTATGGCCACCATTTTACAACACACCAAAGGACTAGAAAATGTGTCTACTGAGAACATTGAGAAATGGCTTGAAATAGACAGTACTGAACCAGGTTATGAAGTGTTAAGTGACAGTGAAATCATCAGAAGAGCACAAGGCCAGACAGATGAATCCAGTGAAAATGAGGAGGAAGAAATAGAACTAATTCCAGAAAAGCATATTAATCATGCGACTGCTCTCCAATGGACTGAAAATTTATTGGATTATCTTGAACAACAAGGTGATATGATTCTACCTGATAGACTGGTAATACGTAAGCTTCGAGCCACTATCAGAAATAAACAGAAGATGACGAACTCAAGCCAATAATGACATTTCAATTTTATTTTGATAATTATGTTTATGATTCTTTACCTCTTTGTAATAAGGCTTAATTTTCATTGTGTTCTGAATTCTCAGATACAGTCTTGTGAAAAACAAATACAAAAATGTATCTCAAATGCTTTTTGAGGGTATGTTTTCATCATGTGTTTCTTGTCCCTTGTGTAGATAATCAAAAGCTTATCGATACAAATTACATGTACACATGTATTTACTTTTGTAAATCTGTAGTGATCTCTTGCATTAGAGTGTCATTCTCTGGATTTTCTAGCAAAAGAGATAACAGTGAAAAGAAAGATCACTTTCCACAAATCTGCTTGATTCATGAGGATTGTCACAGTAATCTTCTCTTGTATAACCATGGTAAATGGTTGTTTTGTGTGTCTGCATAGTCTGACAGGATGAGAATATGTTGATAGATTTTGGTACATAATATGATTTTGGTATGTAATAATTAAAAAGTGAAGTTCAGTAATGATGAGGAAACAGTGATCTCTGAATTACAAAAAATAACTTCGAAGTCATACTTGTGTTATTTTATATTCACGGGGTGGCAGGTGGAAAAGATTATTTTGGTAAATAGGGGAAGTGATTGCTAAGTGAGTGAGACTACTGGATATATAAAAGAGGTATTCCGATCAATTAATTTTTTGTAAGCAGAGGAATTTAAAATTTTGAATATTTTAGATTATTTATACAAAGGGAATAAATAGACTTGGTTTAATTTGGTCTTTATTATGAATTGGGTAACAGTATAGGTTTATTATTTATTCATCAAATTATAATACAGGTTAGATGTTACATGTGATGATATGAAATCCCAACTATGGAACAGTATGTTTGGAATTTGAAATTTAATAAGTTTTTTCTGTGTTTTTTTTTGTGTTTTATTTTTTTAAACCGCATACTTGGAAATGTTATATATAATTTGAAAAACTTTGTCATTTCTGACCCTTTGATATGAAGAGAAGAAGAAATGAAAATAATAAAGTTTTTGTTATTTTAAGTAAATTCTATGTTAGTGTTCTGTTTTATGAAAAAAGCAGAAATAATTTTGGAAAGTGCCAGGCATAAATTTCATCATTTATTATTTTGACACTTGTAAAAAGGGATTAATTATTTATTTTAAAATCTGAGTGCACAATTTGGTAAATTTTCTTAGTAAACTTAATATATCAGTGAGGTAATCAAGACATTTAAAAGACCTCACATTTATTAATATTAATGTAATTTATAATTTAAAAAGTCTGCACATACTATTTTATAAAAATAATAAATTAGAATTGTTCTTAATCATTTTTAAAAGGATTAATTTTTTTATTGAAATACTTAACATTTTATCGTACCTTTCTAAGAATGCTGAAACTTTAAAAAGATTTTTAGCATTATGTAATATCTGTTGTTTTCATGAATATGTATTTTTCAAAAGACTTATTTGTAATGGACATGTTTAAAAATCATGTTCATTTCATGAATTGCCTCAGTGGACAAGCAGAAAAAACATTGGAAGTTAACATACATTTTGAATTAGATGATTACACATTCTACTATAAATACATCATATATAAACAATTTTTGTAAAGTGAAAATATGTACTAAAAAACTTCAGGATTTCTGTCTAGATTTGCGCACTGTTTTTAAAATTAATCCTATGAAATTCAGCTGTGTCGTTGCCACCTAGTGGTAAAATTAACATTATTGTCAAGCTGTGTCATTTTAACTAATATATAGTAAAAGGTTCACTGGTTCGTGGCCTTCTTTGTGAATATTGTGAACTCTTTAGGCTGTGAGAGAATGCTTTTCTTTGCTTTGTATCTAGTTTGCTTTTCTGTGAAATCTGTTAACACTGGTAAGCTAGAAAGTTCTGTTTTGGGTCCTTCCATCCTTAATTATATAAACTGCTAGTTATTGAGTACCATTTTGTGTTTTGCACAGCATATTTATATCATTTCATCCTCTTGTTAGGAATTAAGTGGAAATACTAGTGTTTGCTTATACTCTTGATTGCTGAAGGTCATTTGGCTATAGGTAAGAATTTAAAAACTGATGTTTGACTTCAAAGACTATGCTTATATTATCTAACCTCTAAGGTTGGTATCAACCTCTTACGCTTTCCAGTCGTCAACATTTATTCCTTACCATCCCCCACCACTTGTCATAGGTTTCTGAGTTTACTTACATATCTTTCAATGTACTTGTAATAGCCATTGCCCTTTCATCTACCCTCTAAGAAAGTTAGTTTTCCTCCTTCACTACACTGTAGTATCTAATGCTTTTTATCAACAACCTTATAGCATTTGAAATTTGAATCATCTGTTTTCTGATTTCCAAGTGCACATGCTCAATGAAGATATTTTTTCATTCAGCAAATTTAAAATCCAGCTTTGAGGGGCCAGCAGGTAGCGTAGTGATTATATTGCTGGACTTCCACATGGCCAACTACAGTGCAAGTCCCAGATCTGGTGGCCTGAAAATCACACTAGGCACAGGCACAGGTATACATGTGTGCCCAAGATCCCAGGAGGAGAATGGTGGAGAAGGTATTGTGGCATGCCCCCCCACCCCCCGGAGGGGGGCACTGTCTCTGTCTTTCTGGTGAGGATATGCACGATATAGTAAAAAGCTTTAAAAAAATGTAAAATACTGATAGGAGAGGTGGTAACTTGGCCTTGAAAAATAGTATATTCATGATGTTTTATAATTCTCAGGACATTCTCATAGACATTGGCTCATTGTCCAAGAGGACATCTAAAAAGATAAATTTGGTTGGGAAAGTAAAAAAAAAAAATCTAATCTTAGCCTCACAGGTGAATCACCTTAAGAAGTCTTACTAAGGTGTTGCCTTTTCAGTCTTCTTCATCCTTATTTCAGTCTAGAGGAATTGTTTTGAACTCACAAAAGCTCCTAAATTTCTGGACTTTCTTTAAGCCCTTTTACTTCTACTCGTAATTGATTACTTTGTGAGCTCATCTTTTTTTTGTAATATATGCTAAACACAACAAGGAAGGACAAATATTAATTCTAGCTCTTTCCAGCCATTCTAGAATAGGGCTACTTAAATTACTGTGTTCCAGATAACTTTAATATAGGGGGCTGTACTATGCATTGCAGAATTTCCAGTGGTATCCCTCATCTCTACTTATCTCTTCCTTGCCCCAATTATGACAAAGAAAAAATTTTCCAGACATTTCCAAATGTCCCCTGGGGCAAAACTGTACCAGAGTGAGAACTACAGCCTTAAAACTACAAGATCTTGGGCACTTGGTTTGCTTTCTAAGTTATTGAAAGTAACATTTTTAAAATGTTTTTTTCCACTATCCATCTTTCTAGCAACTGGTAGTTATTTCCTTGATGCCTAATTCCTGTTCACTAATTTAATGGCCACATATTTTAGGTTTTTGTATTAACAGTATCCCACTCAGGGTACCCCTTTCTCTATTGATTTAGATAACTCTAGTTGGCGAAACCAGCCCCAAATTTTAGAGGATTAACACAGTATTTATTTTTTCTCAGCAGTCATGATATAAATAATAATCAGAGAATCACTTCTTCAAGTGTCTCTTGAACTCAAGCCCCCTTCTATCTTGCTATTTGGGATCTGCTATACAAAATCCTCTACATCCAGTTAGCAGATAGAAGAGAATGAAGAGTATACACTTGTACCTTTCCCCCACCTTGTTAATGTGTGCATGTGTGTGAATGTGAGAAAGAGAGAATACGAGAAAGAGAAACCTCTGGTGGGGTTTTTGGACATGTGCATATATGTCATATGTAAGCCAGTGGGACTTGCACTCAAACCCTAGTTAGATGTGAGAACTGGGTTCTATATGACACTTAACCACTGTTTTACGGGGCTCACCCCATACTAGCTTTTTAACTTTCTTTTCTCAGAAGTCCTTTCATTTTACATGCCATTGGAGAGAACTCCCATATGGAATGGCAGTGGACTGGGATGCTAAGAATGACTCCTTAGCTAGGCAGTTACTTCTCAATGACAGCTTTATACAATGGAAGGGGAAACACACATTTTGATAACTAAGCCCTTTCTGAAATAAAAAATGGCTATATTACGGTAATTATTCTCATAGAATCACCACCCAAGGAACTCGAAAAAATATATTTATTAGTACATGAATCTTATGCTCAGAGGATCTGATTTAATTGGTCTAGGTGACTATGCCATATATTTATTTAAAATTCCCATGTATCTTTAGTAATGTAGTCAGAATTGAGAACCACATGATTACAAATACTTGAGCAAAGAAAGTAGAAAGGATAATAGGCTCCTTTGATGAATCTTGAAATCAAGACTAAGTGTAAAAGTAGAGTAAATAAAAGTTTATAAGAAAACTAAATTCTATGGCTTGAGTTTTTGTCCCCTCTAAAGCTCATGTCAAAATTTAATTGCCATGTAGCAGTATTGGAAGATGGGGCCTATATAAGATAATTAGGCCATGAGGGCTCCTCCCTGGGTCAGTGCTGTTATGAAAAGGGATTTGGGGAGTGGGCATGCTCTCTCATTTTTCTGCATTCTGCCCTGTGATGACAGCAAGAGGGCCCTTGCCAGATGCCAGTGCCTTGATATTAGCATTCCCATCCTGCAGTACTGTGAAGAAATAAGTTTCAGTTATTTTCAAATTACTCAGTCTCAGTTGTTTTGTTATAACTCCACAAATTAAGACAAACATATAAGCACTTGCATGTGTGTATATGTGTATATATATATGTGTTGGGGGGAAGGAACATGGAACTTGGAGATAAAAGACATTTGAGTCCCAGTTCAATTTTTCAGTTGATTGAATCTGTGGATACAGAACTCATGGATACAGAAGGCTAACCATACCTATTTTTTCATGTATGCAATCATTTAATTATTTGATTGTGATCATTTTATTTATTTGAAAGTTGTTTATTGAATTCTCTATCATCCCTATCCTTTCCTACCCTTTATTAAGTTTGTAGTAAATGAAGTTAGTACTCCAACATTTGGTAATGTTTGATTTTGTACTACTCACTGCATTTGAGAATTCCTGGAAGACTATGGCCTCTACTTATACAGCACATATTATATGAAATATAGGAATATCAGCTAAAGTTTGGAGCCCCTAGTAGTGAGAATAAGGAATTGATACTATATCTTGCCAGATAGAAGACTTGGGAACTTGTCTTCTGAGATTAAGTGTTCTCTATTCCTCCTGACTTTTTACCCACTATGAGAACCATTCTACTAATAGTTATTACAAGCTCTTTTCTGAAGATTGATACAATTTTTAAAAATTATCCTGAAAAATAGGTATGTGCTTACATCTTTCCACCGAGCTTCTTCTTGGTCCTGCTCCCAGTTTTCATTACTTCCATACATGATCACGATTTTATTGCCCACAGTTTATGGTCTTCTAAAAGTCTACCTACCTGTTTTGAGGATGTGTATATTTGCTTCTTAGAGAGTACATATTTTTTTCTATTTATGAATGATGTAAGATGAGAATAAAGTATCTCTTCCCTCCACCATTTATTTTGCCTAACCACATAATTTTGCATAAATCTCCAAATCTCTCTGATCTCATTATCTCTAAAATGGGATAATAATACGTAATTGTTAAGAGGATTAAGTAAATAATATGCAGCACTTTATGAACTAATATGTTTTTATATTATTGATAGAAAGGGTTAAAGGAAAAGAGGGCATGATAATGATAAAACAGTAGTAGGAAAGTAAGATCATTGAGTTTGTGGCCAAAAGGATTTAAGAGGCCAAGAATAGCAAATTCATTTATTTATTGATAGTGAT